GGCTTTTAAGCTGGCCTCTCCCGTTAGCTATACAAGTCATTGATTATTTGAATCAAAATACTGGTGCTGTGATTTATATTTGTTAAAGTTAATCAGGTTGGCTTCACCCATGATTACAACCTGTTAAAAATCCTTTTGACTCCTAAAGACCTCATTTCACAGTAGCTCTGTCATTTAGAAATGTGAAGAACTTGCTTAAAAATAATCAGCAGTGGCGTTATCATCACCATCATCATCCCCAGTATCTTGGGATCTAAATGAAAGAAGGTTAAACAAAAACAATAATTGTCGGTATGCAGAGTCAAAGGAAGGATGGAACAACTAAGCCACAGGAAAGGCGAAAGTAAACTGGTCCTCAGGAAGAATTAGGACAGGAACTCGAACTCTGTCAGACTCCCTTTCCGTCTTCCATCTCCTCTGTATCAGCCCTCTCGCTCTCCAACTACAATCTGGCTTTTTCCCGTGGCAGCAAGCATGACTGCCAGCAGCTCGGGAGCTTTGCTCATTGCAGTTTTGACATCTTTGAAAGAGATTGCTCTGGGCTCAAGGGTAAAAATCCAGAGAAGGGGAAAAGTGGCTCAACATTATTAGCCAACTGGGAAATGCAAATCAAAACCACAGAGATACCACTTCACACCCACTAGGAGAGCTAGAATCAAAAGAAAGGCCTGGTGGCATAGTGGTTAAGTTTGTGTGCTCCACTTTGGCGGCCTGGGGTTCATGGGTTTGGATCCTGGGTGCAAGCCTACTGCTCATCAAGCCATGCTGTGGCAGCATCCCATATACAAAAAGTAGAGGAAGATTAGCACAGATGTTAGCTCAGCAACCATCCTCTTCACAAATAAAAACACCAAAAAAATGGTGACAAATGTTGGTGAAGATATGGAGAAATTGAAACTCCCATTTATTTCTGGTGGGATTGTAAAATGGGACAACCACTTTAGAAAATAGTTTGACAGTTTCTCAAATTGTTAAACTTAGAGTTACCATATGACTTGTAGAGAAACGAAAACATACGTCCACACAAAAACTTGTATGCAAATTTTTATATCAGAATTTATTCATAATAACCAACAAGTGAAAATGACCCAAATGTCTACAGCTGATGAATGAGTGAACAAAATGTGGTATATCCATACAATGGAATATTACTCAGCCATAAAAAGGAATGGAGTAGTGGCACATGCTACAACATGGATGAACCTTAGCACATTATGCTAAGTGAAAGAAGTCAGACACAGAAGGCCACATATTGTATGATTCCATTCATATGAAACATCCAAAATAAAGAAATCTATAGAGATAGAAAGTAGAATAGTGGTTGCCTAGGGCAGAGGAGTGGGTGTGGAATGGTGTGGTGTGAGGTTTCTTTTGGGGATGATGAAAATGTCCTAAAATTAGACTGTGGTGATGGTAGCATAACTCTGTAAATAAACTAGAAACCATTGAATCGTATAATTTAAATGGATGAATTTTATCGTATATAAATTATATCTCAATAAAACTATTAAAAAATGAATCCAGGAAAGGAACTCATTGACCTAGCTGGAGTCAGATGCCCTGTTCTGAACTTACTAACTGTGACTGGCGGGGGCAGGGGCACAGGGAGAGGTTTGTTAGAATATGGCAGTTCCTCTGAGAACCAGCTCCTCTGGACAGAGTTTATGTCATGATGCGGAAAGAGGAGCACAGTTCCTAGATGGGCTAGGGTGTTAAGTGACAAAGCAATAGGTGCCCATCACACTGAGTATTTATAGAGAATTTATAGTTACCCAGACACACATTAAGTGCTTCTTCTGAATTATCTCATTAATGATCACAACAACCCTGTAAGTTAGGTATATGAGACCCATTTTATGCTGGTAGAGGGTCAGGTTAAATAACTTTCCTAAGGTCACTTAACTAGTTAGTAAGTAATAATGTGGGTCTAGGGTTTAACCCCAGATCTGACCCCAATCTCTTCTCTCAATCATTAGGCCATGCTGCCTCCCTCTGGCTTTATATAAGTTGTTGAAAAATTCTGGAACACACCACTGGAGACCTAACTTTATATCCGTTCTTTATTTCATATACTTATTTACGCTTTCACTAAAGGAGACCCTTCGAACATGAACACCATGAACTTTTTGCTGGCATAGGAGCACTCCTGATAATCTTTAAGAAGCGCCAGAGGACTAGAGATGGTGGTTCAACCCCTACTGCTGCCCACCTGCTACCCACACCACATTCCTCCAGCTCGTGAAGGGTAGAAAGAACTGGGCCAAGAACCCGTCTTGCTAAAATCATGATGCAGTAGGTCTCCTGATCCACTAGCCAGTTAACCCTCTCAAAACAAGAAATAAGGTTAATTTGGCAAGATGTGTGCTCAGTGAACCAATACAGCTTATTTTCCAAATGTTCTCAAGCTGTCTACTTAATAATCTGCTCTCGAATGCTGCCAGCGATTTGATGGCAGAATTGATGGATGCCAAGCCTGTTGGTCTGTGCTTTCTCAGACCTCCTTTCCCCTTCTTCAAAAACATCAGTACGACAGTTTTCCCTCACTAGTCTCTTGGTATTTGATTTCTCGACCCTCGTGGGCAGTGGTTCTACAACCCCATCTGCACATCCCTTCTGTCTCCTGGGGGGTGGGGATCCACGTGGGCCTGTGATGTGAATCCATGGAAGACAGCTGGGCACTTGCCTGCCTTCCCCCTCTCTACCCGCCTCAAGCTCCAGATCCTTCTTAGCCGCATTTGTGCGAGCCTTTCCAAGATAAAGCGTGTTCCCAGCGGAGAAAGCAGAGAGCACACGGGAGTTGAGTTGTTCCGCTTTCTCTCTGACATCTGTTACCAGCAGACCATCTGCCCCAGCAGTAGGCATGGCTTTCCTCCTCGTGCTTTCTTCCAGTGGATAAAACAAACATTCTGTTGTCCTTAGTATTTTTCACTAGCCTCCGTCACTTTGTAACGCAGCCTTCCTGACACTGTTCTGACATACTCTTGCCATGCCTCATTTTCATCTGTGGTCATGTGCCTAATGTCCACATTTCAGTCACATCATCGGAAAATCCCAGCTATGTGATTCACCTCTAGGGTCAGCGCCCTTTTCTTCATCATTGGGATTATTTGAACTTGGGACAATCAGCTGTGTTTTTAGAGCTTCCCAGCCACAGATACCCTGGTTTCCAGAATGGCTAGGTTAACGTAGTAGTTTTTATTGTTTAAAGGGCTATATATGTCACAATAGGATTATGATACAGGTTGCTCTTATTATCTTCACTTTATACACAAGGAAACCAGGCCCAAAGTAACATTCCCACAAGGTCATGCAGTTATTTTGTGGTGGAGCTTGGTGGGTCTTGAACCCAGGTCATCTAACTCCAGAAGCCAAGGTCTCAACCACTTCACTGGAGGCCACTCCTGAGCATCATGGCTGAGAAGGCAAGCCAGCGGCAAAATTCCAGAAGGAGCCATTACAGGCCTTAATGTCAGTGGCATGACTGAGACAGCTTAAGCCAGGACAAAGGGCTCGGACACTGAGGAGAAGGAAGACAGTTCTCAAAACAGAGTCCCCTTCATCGCATGTTGAGAGGCCTGAATGAGATCATTCATTCACTCAGCAAATGCGGGTCAGCCATTGGCCTACCCTCCACAAAGATGTTTAGGAGGTGAGAACCTCATACTTCTGAAACAGCTCCTCCCATCCCTGTCCCCATCCTCTCTGGAGCCCTGGGACACCTGGGTTCCCTCAGGAAAAGTGACTTTGAGCCTCACTATTTCAGCAGCAACAATTCCTGCTCATCCTACACCCAGAGGGCACAGAGGCAGGGCAGGTGGTATTTCTGGCTTTGGCCAAAGGAGTCATCACAGATCTTTGCTTAATAAGGCCTTTAAGTGATCTCAATAAAGAAGAGGCTAAACACTTAACCGCTGTGGAGAGTGTCTTATTGATTGGAGGAGAGAGGCTCTGGCCTGCCTACCTGGGGTGGAGCGGGAGCCAGGCCAATCGGGCCCCAGGGGGCCAATGCCGGGGTGTGAAGTACTTAAGAGAGTTTCTCCAAGCTCTGAGAGCTGCCACCACCATCCCCAAATGGCTTCACAGCTAAGGGGACTGAGTTTCAGAGTTCGTGGTCTCCCTCTAAGACAGTGCAGTTAGCAGAAAAGAGAGAAAAGCAAGAGGAGTGGGTTTTGATCCAGGTGCACCCAAACGTGGGCAGTCCACTTCAGGTCTCTGAGCCTCAGTTCCTGCGTCTGTCCCATGGGGATAAGGATAGAAAGCTCATGGGGTTCATGGGGCTTATGTGGGGGAAATGTGTCAGCGTGTTTGGAAATTGTGAACCTCCACATGGATAGAAGGTGGGTTTACTATTTATTATTTTTATCGTCATAAATGAGATTGTGTTGATCTTCTGCTTAAAGCTCGTCCACAGCTCCTCATTGCACTTGGGAGGAAATCCATACTCCTTGTCGTGGCCACTAGACACTGCACACTCTGGCCCCTGCCTGCTGCCTCAACCTCCCCGTCCCTCACTGTGCTCCAGCCCCGCTGGCCCTTTAGAACAGGCTGAGCTCCTTCCTAGCTCAGGAACTCCGTATTTCTGTTCCCTCTGCCTGGCACACTATTCCCCAAGTGTGTTGCATGGCTGGATCCTTTACCTTCAGATCTCAGCTTAAATGTTACTTCCTCAGAGAGACCCTTCCTGAGCACACTCCACCCACCTGGCACAGCACCTGTCTACTCTCTTCATAGACAGAACCACAAGTCGCAATGTTGTTATGGATTCATTTTACTCGTTTACGGTCTTCCCCTTGTAGAAAGTTGGCTCCATGAACATAAGCATCTTGTCTGTTTTGTTCACTCCCAGGTCCTATCACATACCTGGCACATAGTAGGCACTCTAAACTTAATCATTGAATGCATGGATGCATGCATGCATAGGTGAATGATTGACAGGGAAGGCTGCCTTGTTTCCCAAGTGGCCCCTTCCTTACACCCATCTCTCTGTCTCTCTGTCTCAGCTATGGAGACATGGTGCCCAAGACAATTGCAGGGAAGATCTTCGGCTCCATCTGCTCCCTGAGTGGCGTCCTGGTCATTGCCCTGCCAGTGCCTGTGATCGTTTCCAACTTTAGCCGGATTTACCACCAGAATCAGAGAGCTGATAAACGCAGGGCACAGAAGGTAAGCCACAGACCCAGGGGGTGGGCACGAGAGAGGGGCCTGGCCCTTCACCTTGCACGGCTCTCACAGTCACGTCGCCAGGCCTGGAGTCCCCGGAGAACCACTGCACAGACAGCCTCTGGCTGTGGAAGGTAAAGCAGTTCATGTCCCTTCCTACACACCCGTGTCCTGCACTCCAGCCCCAGTCAGCTGCAAAATGCAACAAACCCTCAATTATCCGTAAGCTGATTATCTCCCTTTTGGCTATTCTCTGTAATTTCTTTGGGCGCTGGCTCCCCCTCCAAGACCTCAGCCACCAACTCTCGGCAGTGCCCTGGTCTCCTCCCTCTCGCAGCCAAGAGCTTACGGGGAACAGAATCGCTTCTCAATACCCTATAATAATCTATGCAAAACATAGTGACGAAAATAAATTTGCTGGAAAGAAAAATGAATACTCTGAAAGGAGAACATTCTGAGGCCATTGAGTTGAGGGACAAACAGCACAACGGGCCTTAGTCACGTCAGGGTGAGTGCAGCACAGAACTGCAGTTGATGGTCAGGAGAAGACCCTTGGGCCTGAGAAACGTTCTCACGATGCCCTGCGGACTCTGCTGAAGAAGGCAGGGCGGGGGTCCCGCAGCCCACAGAATGAGGAAAAGTATCTGAGGCTTTGGTGCCTGGACAGGGGCCTCCTTTCCTGATTGGCCCTCCGCCTTCCATCCAGAAAACTCACCCACTCAGCCAGCTGTCGTCTACCTGCCTTTTTAGGGGGTCTGGCTGGTGACGGTTCTTGGGAGGTGACTTTTACCAGATTCCCATCAGGAAAGAAGAGGACTGAGGGGAAAGTTTCTCATCTCTCTTCTGATCTAGGCTGAAACATGGTGCCCCTTCAGCATCATCTCAACCTCCATGGGGTACAGTGGACAGGGGGACCTCGTTGAAAGAGTCACTTGTGGAGGCCTGAGATTTGGTGTCCTTATTTTCTTCTTTCTTTCATTCATTCATTCCACAAACATTTCTGCACACCTCCTGTGTGTCCTGCCCTGTGCTGTAGCTGGGTACTTCCTCACCACATGACCCCTGTCCTGGCTTTCCACTCGCAAGGACAACCTCCAAGTAGCAGGGCTTCTTTGGCATATCAGAGGAATTCAGAACTTCAGAACAGATTTGTGTATGCCGATTGAAACAAAGTCACAGAGTTCATGAGAGTCAGCTCAGAAATGTGTGGTAATTTACATATCATAACAACATAATATACATTATATAATTATATCATAAATCCAGTTGGTTCCCACTTCCAGCACATCCCCCTTGTGTACCCTGGGGTCACCCCCTCCTCACCCTTCTGTCTCCCTCTACTTGTGCTGGAATATATTTTGACTTGTCTTGACCTGGGTCTGGCCAGTTTGCCTTAGATTGATCTTCTGGCTCTGTGCTGTCCTCTCTATCCCCCACAGCACCCACTTTCTACCTCTTCATCCAAGGTCAGGGTTTCCCCAGCCCCTGTCCTCTGCTAGCCATCCCAGAAATAGAAGTCTTATCTCTTTCCCTCTTCAGGTCAGCTGGCAAATGTGAACAATATCTAAATTCATCATACAGTCTTAAAGAAAGGAGCAGGGAGAAACTGGGATCTCCTTCCCAAATCAAGGAGCCTGAGGTTCTGAAGGGCCAGGGGTCCTAGAGCAACCCCACCCCCACGGCCTAGGACTGACACAGGTTCTTGGCCAGCAAGTGAGGTTCAGAGGAACCCTCAGCTCACACGCTAGCCTGCGGCTGTGCCCACAGCAGCCCCGCTGAGCTGTGTAGGCAGCTCCTGCACTACCTTCCTCTTCGTGCCCACACCCTTACCTACCTCTTAGAGCATCTCGTCCACAGTCGTTTTGCCCCTGCAAAAAGTAGAAGTGACCATTTCCCCATGGGACTTTACAGAGCTCATCCTGTGTAATTAAAAATCCAGAAGGAATCGGCTTTGGTGTATTCCTCCCTCCAGCCGCTAAAGATGAGACTCCTTCCCTTCCGCCTCCTGCCTCACCCTCCTACCTCCCCTCTTCACTCTCCCTTTGAAATCAAGGTAATTATTTACAGTGTTTGCACCTCGCCTGGATACTGTCTCTCCTCAAGGTTGCTAGGCCCCTTTCTCTTTCACCTTGGGCTTCCTGTGAGAGGGGGAAGAAAAAAAGGGTACAATACCAAGAATACTGCCGGCTTCCAGCACTGAGTCTGTCACCGTGAGGCAAGGAAGGCAGGTCCAGGGATTAGTGGAGAACAAGACAGGAAGGAGGTCAGGGAAGCTAATAGTTCTCAGCCCACACCCCAGACTCAGGAGCTACACAGCCATGAAGGTGAGCGCCAGCCCCCGTGCTTCAGGTGTAAGGAAAGTCTCAAAAGCTCAGCATCCTTTCCCATCATGACTGGTTCGCTTAGGGTTATTACTAAAATGACTCCATGACTGTTTGCTTCAGACACTGTGTTCTCTGAGCCGGGTGAATTGGAGATGGAGTAAGGAGGTCTAGCAGCGGACAGAGAGAGAGGAACGTCTGGCGTGGGGGGCTTTTTTAATGGAAATTTTTGTTGAGATCACTGTAGATTCACAAGTAGTTATAAGATTATCACAACCAGAGTATGAACATTGATACAATCCACCAACCCCACCCAGACTTCCTCAGTTTTATTTCTACTGGTATGTGTGTGAATTTTATACAGTTTCATCACCTATGCAGGTTCCTGCATCCATCACCTCAGTCAAGGTACCAGACAGTTCCAACACCACAAGGATCCCTCATGTTGCCCTTTTATAACCACACCCTCCCACCCTTCCTCCACCCAGTCCTTAACCCAGTACCCGTTTATCTGTCCTCCATTTATAAAATGTTTTTATTACAAAAATGTTATATAAATGGACTCATCCAGTAGGTAACCTCTGGAGACTGGCTGTTTTCATTCCTTGGGATTCCTGGAGATTCATCCAAGTTGTGTGTATCAATGGTGCGCTCCTTTTTCTTGCTGAGCAGTATCCCATCATATGGATGTATCACAGTTTGTTTAACCGTTCGTCTGTTGAGGGACATCTGGGATGATTCCAGTTTGGGGTTACTATAAATACAGCTACTGTGAACATTCATGTACAGGTTTTTGTGTGAACGTAAGTTTTAATTTCTCTGGGAAAATGCCTAAGAGTGCAATTGCCCATGTTTCCTTTTGGCTTTTCCATTTCTCCCTCTCTTTCCTTCTGCCTCTCCCAGGGCAAGAGATGTCTGTACTCATGGCCCAAAGGCACCTGCTAGCCAGGCAGCCAGGAAGTGCTTAGTCATGAAAGGCTTCTCGTGAACCAACAGATTTCTTGAGCAGAGACTCCACCTGGAACTGGACCCCGGGTGGCAGCCTCCTCCTTCCAGACCTCTTCTCCAACCCTGGAATCTGCACACCCGTTGCAAGTGCAACTTCCTGGGCTTGCTCATCAAGTTTAGAAACTTACCTGACAGGAGTTGAAATTCAGGGAAGGAGAAGAGGGGTGCTGTGGAAACAGCCCTTGGCCTGAAGGTTGGAAGACCTGAGCTGAAGTCTTGCTAGTCCACACTGCCTTGCCCTGGATAAGTCGCTTCCCCTCACATCCTTCATTTTCTTGTCTTTGAAATAGCCTAGATGATCTCTACATTCAGTCTTCCTCTTTTTTTGCTTGAGGAAGATTAGCCCTCAGCTAACATCTGTGCCAATCTTTCTTGACTTGATATGTGAGTCTTCGCGACAGCATAGCTGACGTGTTGTAGGTCCACACCCAGGATCCGAACCCGTGAACCCAGGCTGCCAAAGCAGAGCACACCAGAATTAACTACTAAGCCATGGGGCTAGCCCCTCTACATTCTCTCTTGACTCTGATGTTGTGTGGATGGCCATAGAAGAGTGTCATGGCTGACCAGTCCATACAAGGATTGAGCCCATTAACTGCCTTTATTAACATGGATTTCTGACCAACTGCATAGGTTCATCTTCCTTCCTGGGCCGTCATGAGACTTGCCTGAGCACCTGCTCAGTGCGAAGCTCTGTGCAAGGTGCTGAACATAAAAATATGCATGAGCCACAGACTCTGGCCTTCAGGAGCTCAAAGTCAAGCCAAAAATCCTCACCAAATTTCATATGCTGGTTATGGTTCCATAAATATATTGCAAACCTCTTTATCCTGTGTGGGAAATGATTAAACGATATAGTGCATTTGATATGACAATCTGTTGCTTTAATAGAGCCCAGGGTAAGATAAGATTAAAAGAAGTGCCACAAAGGAGAACAGGAGAATCTTTCATCTCCAGAAAGTACTGAAGACAGACCCCAGATACGAGAAAGGTCTGGCTGTAAGTGGTACAATCAAATTATAGAAGGCTATAATGAGCTTGACACAATTGGGTTTCCATATGCAGCTCTCAACATCCAGTACTCATCCAAAACAATAACAGCCACATCCTCAGATGATGAGGAACCAGCTTGAATGTAGACATCCAGCTGAGGGGAGGGCTGGAGCAGGAGTCCCAGGGAAGAGAATTGTCCTGGAGCTTGAATGAATGTTCGTTGCTCAGAGAGTAGAGAAATGATATGGCTGACTCAGGATCCTTTCTCTCCCACGTTCCCCTTTTCATGCTCTCCGTCTAGAGGAGCATTCTTCCTCAGATTTACAGGCAGATCTTCCAGGCTCAAGTCCTGACCTCTTCCTCATATTTAGAAGCCAGGGAAGGGAGCAGAATTGTCCCTACAAGGACACGCTGGCCACAGGGGAACTTCCCAGGAAACAAGAGATGTAGTACGTCCTTGTGCTTCTGTTGACAGCCTGAATCTGAGTCCCTGGCCTCCTTTTAGCAGATGAACCAGCCCAGCAGGACACCTGCAGGAGACACTTCCCTGTGTTGGGGAAAGGGTGATAAGAAATGGAAATGTCCACAATTTTCCAAGGACTCTTCTGCTCAGAGTCCATGATGAAGTTGCAGGTGGACTTTCCCAGAGACAGGAGGAGCCCTCTCCCCCAGGATGGATCTGTGAGTCCGTGTGGGCTCTTCTGCTTCCAGTAGCAAGGGCCTGGAGCTGAGGCTAGATCGACAACAGCCCAAACCTCAAGCTGTGTTTTTTTAAACCAGCAGGAACCCTCTACTCATCTCTTCTCCCTATCTCCCGAAGACTCTTTCCTCCTAGGCCTCCCTCTGTGGTTGTGCTGCTGTTGTGGTGACACTGATTATGGTTATCAGGAAGGAGAAGAACAGCCAGCATGTGCAGTGTGCCCAGCCTCTCCCACTGCCTCTGCAAGCAGGAGAGCTGAGCTTGCATTGAGATATCATGCAGCCCTCCTGCAGGAAGTCTGCTGAAGGCTCCCCAGGTTGGAGCTGGGGAGATTTTCAGTTGTCCTAGTTAAGCCAAAGTGGTGTATGGAAATGTGTTCCATCCTCCCTTCTCTTACACACACACATCGCGCCAACTTGTCACATGCACTTGCACCTACACTCATTCCCATAGACATGCATGACAAAATACAGTGATGCATCCACACATGAATCCACTCCCAAAGACAGGCATGCAATTATAAATTCATTTATTAATTTAAAAATTACCAGGCACTGAAGATACATGAGTGAACAAAACAAAAACTCCTGCCCTCAAGGAGTTTACATTCTGGTAGGGGAGAGACAGTAGCAGATAAATCTATAACACATACACTCCCTTAGTAGTAAGTGCTGAGGAAAAATAGAAAGAGGGGAAGGAGTTAAGAAGTATTGAGGGGCACATGTGCACACTCCTTGCTTTTCTCATAATTAACTGGGATTTGGACCCCTGCCGCATGCAGGGAACTCACTGGACCCTAGGGGAGCATCAGGAGAGCTGTAGCATGTGCTCCTTTGGAGAGCCTGCAGTCCAGTTAGAGAGGAGAAACACTCCAGTAGATACTGAGGAGGCAGAGGTCATGAAGCTTGTGGAAGGAGGGAGGCCTCTGACGAGTGGTATTTCTCCTGCCAGGATCACTCCCAGGCTGCAGAGATGCGTGGGAAGCCCTAGGAACTCTGACCGTGCCCAGGCTGCACAAAGCCGGCACACAGCGTCTCAGACCCAGTCCCGGGCCCACGAGGCTGGGAAGAAGGAGCTTCCTCCCTCCCCTTCATCAGCCATCACGTGGGAACGCAGCCTCACCGGGACAGCCCACTGTCACTGGCATGGCCAGGCTTGCAGTCCTTTTGTCTCTCAGTCCCCCTCACTCTTTTATTATCTCTGCCGATCACAGAAGGCCCGTCTTGCCAGGATCCGTGTGGCCAAAACAGGCAGCTCCAATGCCTACCTGCACAGCAAGCGCAATGGACTCCTCAACGAGGCCCTGGAGCTGATGGTAGGTCCCAGAGGACCCGGGCTGGGGGAGATGCAGGGGAAGGTGGGCTTGTTTTCTCTTCCTGAGGGTACCGGACTCCCACCCCAAAGCCCCAATTTGAACCCTGAAAAGGACGTGTTTCCAACTTTCCCCAGGTAGCCGCCCCTCTCCACAAACCTCCCCCTAAGTGGGATTATCACCACTACCCCTAAACCAGCTTTAGACCAAGGGCCCCCAGGCCAAAGGCTGGCATGTTCTATAGTGACCCTAAAATTTGGTTCATCTAGCTTTTTCTGGTGCCCTCCTAACTTCTGTAGAGAAATGAAGATGATGGAGAGAGGAAGAGCCACCAGCTTTATATTCATTCTCTCTTCGTTTCCTCCTAGGGCACCCCGGAAGAGGAGCATATGGGCAAGTCCACCTCGCTCATCGAGAGTCAGCACCATCACCTGCTGCACTGCCTGGAAAAAACCACTGTGAGTCGCAGCCCATTGCCACTTCCTTTCTCTTCCCTGACCCCTGACCCTTTTGGAGGGTCAGAACTCACAGAGCGAGACCTCTGTACTCGTATCCTCACCTTGGACCCAAGTTTCAGAAGACAAAGTCTGTCCCCTTCAGATCCAAAAAGTAGTGATGAGGTCTCCTCCAGCCCCAGGAGGAAGGCCTCAAGCAGTGGGGCAATGTCACCAGGGTAGGGAGGCCAGCTCTGTCCCGCGGCTGCATAGAGTAGGCCATTACCCCCAGCCTTCCTGTGCACCCCTGCACCAGTCCCCACGGCCCATTTCTTGGTTAGAGAGGGCTAAGGGCTCTGCCTTTCGGTTTCTCAGTTATGATGGGCATCACTCTTCAAAACTAGGGCTGAAATTATGCTACATTGCTATAGCACAGTAGAGAAGAGTATTAATTTTTGTCCCATCCCTGGATCTAGGTTGATGCAATCTGTGGGCCTCTTTGCTCCCTATGCTCCCCTTGGAACAGGAGACAGTGAATGAAGGAGGCAGTGCATATACTTCTCTAGCCAGGGATTTTATCAGTACCACCCCCACTTAGTCACCCTGCAATTCTCAGGGAGTTCAGATTCTGAAAGGCTTATTGTTAAAATAGAGTCATGGTCTAGGGTACCATAGCTGGAATGTGGAATGATGCTTGTGCCTCACCAACAGACTGAAAAGAAGGGCAGTAGGGCCAACCCTGGACCCTTGGCAACAAGTGCTAGCAACAGTAGGGAGGGAGGAGAAGTCGGGGTGGACAGCCAAAGTGAAACCCTTTCCTGTCCCTTTCTAGAACCTCCCTCCCCAAAGAGCCAATAGTCAGAGCTCAACACACTAAGGAAGGAGCTTTCTAATTCTGAATGTTCCATATCCTGGTCTCCCTAATGCAGGGGGAATAGGTGTTAGATGACTCTTAATATGAGCCAAATGTGAACACTGTGGACGGCAGTTGAACCAATGAGGACTTCCAAAATGGGAAGGTACTCTGAAAACTCTAGTTTCCAGGATTTATCAAATATTTCTTAGTGTCAAGAACTGTATGTACCTATCTAGAATTTCTCTCAAAGACTCAGAGCTTGCCAAAGGGATAGGCCCAGACCCAACTGCCCTTTCCAAGTTGCATGTGCTGGGTGGAATGTATAAATTGAAAGGATATGGGTGAAAATATTTGGGTTTGAAGGGCTGGAATGTTGGCACTGATGAAATGAGATTTTGGAATTGAGGGATGGAATGCTGGCATTGAAAGGGTGGAATGCTGAATTTGAGGGAAAGAATGTTGGATTGTGGGGGTGGGATATTGGTATTAAAGAGATGGAATGCTGGATTTCAGGGGAGGAATGTTGGACTCAAGGGGTGGAAGGTTGGGATAAAAGAGGCAGAATGTTGGGATGAAGGGAATGAATGTTGGGTTTGAGCAGGGTCGTGTTGGAGCCAAGGGGTAGAACGTTGGGACAAAGCGGGGAGAATGCTGGGAACGAGGGATGGAATGTTGGACTGAAAGGGTGGAATGCTGGGATTGAGAGACTGAATGTCAAAACTGAGCTTGGGAATGCTGGAATGTACAATCAATGGTGTTTTTATCTTCTGTTGGCATGTTGTCCTGTAGGGGTTGTCCTATCTTGTGGATGATCCCCTGTTATCTGTACGAACCTCCACCATCAAGGTATAACTTTTTAAAAATTCAATTGATGTTTTTCTCTCTGATTCTTCTGAGTGTGTGGATTCTCCTCTTTTTACCCCCTGGTCTGGTTCTCTGCATGTGCTGTCAATTCTTCTGGGGCTTATCCTAACCCTGCTGCCACACCCAGTACCAGCTCAGGCTTACAGTTTTTTGTGCTGAACTACCCAACTGCCTTTCTGATTCCCTCTTTTGATCTCCCCAGGGGCTTGGAGGGGGTGGTGAAACATGGCACCAATGTGGGTATCCTGTGAGTGTCCAGTACCACATCGGTCTGTGCCACCTCCCCAGTTCCTTGGGGACTCCTGGTATTGGCTGTCAGGGTTAGTCTCTCTCTGAACTCTGTTCTCATGCTACTTCTCTTCAGACTTTCGCCACACTCTGGCAGCCTTGGCCAGAACATTAATGCCATAAATTCAGTCACCTTGGCCAAACAGACATTTTTTAGTTATCCTGGGTTCAGCTCCACCCCATCCTGATGGCCTCCAGTCAGGAGGCTATTAGCATTCCCTTCCCATGCTTACACTTGACTTAGGGAATCCTGTGCCTCCAGGTATATTAATAATCCATATCTCATAATCAGATGAAAAAAACAATAGTTAAAAGAAATCATAACCCCAACAGTTTGACCCCATTGGCCTTCAAGAGCAAAGTTCTCCCAATTCCAAGAATAATCCAGTGCCTTCAAAAGTCTCACGCTTACCCAAGATTCATAAGGATCTCACTCATTAATCCAGACAAGACAACTTAGCATACCCACAACTCGTATTCAGTGACTCCTTATCTGCCACCCCCAGGAGGTCCTGTGCAAAGCCTGCAAAGTCAAGTCTTTGCTTCTAGTTCTGCTGATGCCACTGAATTCCTCCATGTCCTCTCTGTCCCTTAAGCTCAAAGCTGTAGAGTGTACGTCATGTCATGATTTAACAACCGCAGTGCCCACCCTTCAATCTGATGGCCAGGGCTGCCAATAGGAATCTCTTTGTTTCTTCATTTGATACCTGTGGGACATCACCCCTCCTGAATGCTTATTTGTGCTCCAGGCAGCTGGGAGCCCTTCTCTCAAGGCCCAGGACAGAGACAGGCAGCCATGCAGAGTATGGGGGCTCATCCCCTCCTTCCTATCTCCTTTTCCTACTTCCTCTCCTTCCGCTTCCCACAGAACCATGAATTTATAGATGAGCAGATGTTTGAGCAGAACTGCATGGAGAGTTCAATGCAGAACTACCCGTCCACAAGGAGCCCCTCACTGTCCAGCCACCCGGGCCTCACTACCACCTGCTGCTCCCGTCGTAATAAGAAGACCACACACCTGCCCAATTCCAACCTGCCGGCCACTCGCCTGCGCAGCATGCAAGAGCTCAGCACGATCCACATCCAGGGCAGCGAGCAGCCCTCCCTCACTACTAGGTGAGTGGCTTCCATCCCCATCACTCCCAAAGGCTTGAGTCGTTCATTCACAGAACAAAACAATCTCAGCATTAGGAGAAGCTGGAGGGTCCTCTTGCTCTCCCTCTCCCTTATTTAATGCGTGAGCCTCCTCCTTCCTCCCTCCACCTTCCCTCTCATCCTTGAAAGTTGACCCAAAGCCCTTCAAATGCTTAGGAGGATACCACAGCAAGTTTAGGCACAATGTGGGGTTAGATACCAGAAAAAAAATTTTTAAAATCCAAAAATGACCCACCCTGGTGCAAAGAATAGATGAACCATTTTCTCGAGGAAATAATTTTCACAATTGTGTGACACATGGCTTACCCAAGGCTGATTTTGAATCCTAGACTGACTTTTTCCTCCTTTCTCTGCTTATATTTAGGCCACTTCTCACTACCTCCAGTGAGTTGCAAGGAATTCAGAGAAAGCAAAAGTCAGATGCCATAAATGATAGGTAAAAATCCACTGGAGGGAACAATGTATACTCTGAATGGCAAAGCCCAACATCCATGACTTTGCAGTTGTTGGTAGTTGAGGAATAACAACTAGAATAGATCATTGTAGGCTGATTACCAAAAGCAGAGCCAGGAGGACACCGAAAGCTCCTCCTAGTTGCTGTGAGCGAGAGCTGTAGGAGGCTAGGGAAGCTTTGGGACACGAGCAAGAGGAACTATCATCAACTCACTCTTTTTTTATCCCAGTCGATCCAGCCTTAATTTGAAAGCAGACGACGGACTGAGACCAAACTGCAAAACATCCCAGATCACCACAGCCATCATCAGCATCCCCACTCCCCCAGCGCTGACCCCAGAGGGGGAAAGTCGGCCACCCCCTGCCAGCCCCGGCCCCAACACGAACATTCCTTCTGTAGCCAGCAATGTCGTCAAGGTCTCCGCCTTGTAAAACCACTGGATGGAGGGCCAGTGCGGGGAGTGGGAGCGAAGGGGGCTGGCATGTTGGTGGGTGGCCACTGGGACCACTCCCTCCCCCCTTCCCCACTCTTTCTGCCTGCCCCGTTGCACCCCTAGCACTGAAACTTGTGCCTGGAAGGAAAAAGAGGCAGCGAAGGGGCACCTGAGGCTCACTGCTGCTGGCGTGGACACAGCCCTGTGACACTGCATCTCACTGGGGCCAGAGGAAGGGAGGGTGGGTGGGGTAGGGGATGGGATGGCGGGGGTATAGGCTGCGTGCCAGGACAGGGCCTGGAGGGGGGAGCCTCAGACCAAATAACGTTGTTTCTGGAGACCCAGTGAGGAAGATCCAAGACCAAGAGCAGCACAGAGGCCGAGTTGTCACATGCAAAACAGGAAGAAAATATAACACTGTGTAATTAAGCACCTTTTTCAAGGCTCTTAATGGATAATATTTATTCATGGGAAAAGGTGGAAAACAAAAACACCAACGGATTTTTGTGAAATGTTTTTCTCCATGGACCCAATACCTTTGAACCAAAACAATGCATTTTGTGAGGTTTTTTTTTTTTTTTTTTCTCCTTTTATAGCAAAAGCTTTTAGGCTAAGAAGTCAGTTATAGCTGAGTTCTCTCTCCATTCCCCCAGGTGGGTCAGGTCAACTGAGCCAGGGCCCCCACTGCCCAGCTGACCTGCAGAGCTGCCAAGTGACCACACAGCTACACTTCCCCTGTGTCTGTCCCTGTCTTCTGTGTCTCTGTACTTCTTAGCTTCACTCCCTGGCTGTATTTCTCTGTGTCCAGCCATCTGTCTCTACATGGACCCCCGCGATCCTGAGAGATGTTAGTAAAGGCTTCTCCACTGCCAGGCACCGCAGACTTGTGCCTGGGAGCTGTATTGTCTGAACGCAACTGTGTAAGAGCAAACAATGAAGGGAAAACAGGAGAGTTGAGGGATGAGGGAAGTCTACTTTATAGAAGAAAGTGCTTCCCTTGTGGTTGGAACCACTGGTGTTTGCAGTTTCCATTTCTGGGGGAGAGAGGGAATGACTGGACTGATCACACTGGGATCTTGAAAAGGAAAGAGCCAACACCTGAGAAGCACAGTCAACTCTGGTGGGTGCCAGTGAAGCAAGACCAGAAGAACCCAGGGCTCACAGCAGCAGTTGGCCCCCGTGGCACCTTGCTATGTGCCCTTCTTTCAGGACCCACCATAAAGCTCATCCAGAGCTCTGCCAAGAGGCCCCATGAGCAGTTTCCTGCAGAGGGGGCAGTGGTATGGGAACCAAGCTACTGACTTATCTCCCACCCGAGGCAACTCCCACATGGAGGCTGCAGGTTAAGCCTGTGTGCCTCATGAAGGATGCTCCAAAGTGTGAAAGCAAGTAAGAGATTCTAGATGATTCTTACCTGGTCTGAAAGATGCCTTGAGGCCTGAAGTCTTCAAGCCTGATGTCCCTGAAGATAACTGAAACGGGAGAAGCCTGATCACCTTCATGCAAGTGAGGGAGTGAATATTATTTCTGGAGAACCTGGACATTATTTCTGTTCAAGTGGCTTGCACGCTGGTGGGGGCCAGGAACAGCATTTCTGGAATCTTCCTATCCATTTTGATGGCTTGTAGCAGAGAAGGTGGGCCTCAGGGTTAGTGACAAGCCCCTTCCTGCCCTCCCCAATCCCCAACTCCCCTATTGCAATCTCACTAGCCTGGGCTCTGAGATACAAGAGCTCCTCAGGAGCTCCTTGTCCATTCTACAGCTTAATCATTAGCTGTTTAATTTTAAGCCAAGAATTTCTCTGCCCACCACAGCCATCTAGACGAGTTGCACTAGCCAGGAACCAAAAAACACCTTCAGTGGGCTTCCCTATGACCCTAGCTCTAGTGACCTTGTAGAAGGGGAAAGCCAAAGGGTTATAAGGCAGCACCTAACCAAAAGGTGGGGAGAGGGCAGAAGAGAGGGAGTCTTCGACCTTTATCTCCTTATGCTTTTCCTTGTTGACCACTGACTGAGTTCTTTCTCTGGATCTGGCCTCAAGGATTTCTCCCTAACATGAGAATGGGGTGGTTCTGGCCCTCTGAACTTATGGTCTAAGAGGAAGAGGAATACATATGTACACACACAACATAAACACACCTAAGAGTAAGTACTAAATCCATTCATTTTATACACACATCTCATTAGGGAAAGCAGAGGACTAAAAAGGAATTTTTCTTTTGAAAGAGTGGGTAACAGAACAAAGTTAGGGATGTCTAAGTATCTAAGTTTACATCATAACTACTGAGTGGGGTAAGGGATACAGAAGTAAATAAGAACATGGCTGCCTACACATACAAACTCCCTGTGTTTAAGAACAGGTCACCACAGGGTTAGAATAATGACTGATCCAGCCCAGGATCCGTTTGACAGTGCACCAAGGGAGCATATTCATGGTTTCCACAAAAATTAATGAAGCAATTTAAAAAAATTATGTCTCAAATAACCTCCCATTTTTTTACCCTAAAGAACTGAATGTTTTCTACTCCTTCAATTTCATTACCAAATCCCACATTATGTCAGTTCCTAGAAGACCATTAGACTATCTTCTTAATCTCCATTCCACAGTGTAGACTTAGCCAGGGAAAAGAGACCCGGCTCACTTCTGATCCAAAAGAAGATGTCAACCCAGAAAAATGGCTGACCTACACGACAGAACACAGCCAGATTCCACTGCTAAAGGGCATTTGTAAGTTAACAAAAGGACCAAAGTGTGCTGAATCAGTTTAATAAGTCTAACTCACTGGCCAGCGACTGAAGAACCAGGATATCAGAGTTTTCTGGGGGCAATGGCTTTCTGGTGCAATGACTCTTGAGCTTTCATAGTTCACGAACCACTTCAGCATAACAGAAGATTCCCAAAACCACCTCTTGCATTCAATCCCACTCAGCATTAGGGAGCTTAAAAAAAAAAGCAACTAATAGGCTACATTCAAATGAATAGAAACTTAGAAAACATACTATTAAGAGCATATTAGGACTAGGAGAGATTCAAGAATATCTAATTCATTTTACAGTGTAGAAAGCTGAGAGACAGAGAAATTAAGTGACTTGCTCAAGGTCATGCAGTCATTTAATGACAGAGCTGGGACCAGAACACAAGTCTCTTGGGTAATAGTCGAACGCTTTTTCCACTATACCCACTGCCTCTCAGAGCACTGATGCTTCCGAGAAGACCCATCAAAAAATACACGCCATAACTAGAGACACCGTCTTATGTAAATACCAGCACGACTTGGGCACAGCCCTTGGACACCACCTGATTGTACTAATACAAACCATACATTGGAAATTGCCGTTCCCTGGGTAGCACCAGCTATGGACTATCAATGCTGTCAAAAATAGGTGAACAGTAGGGCCAGCCCCGTGGCTGAGTGGCTAAGTTCATGCACTCCACTTCGGCGGCCCAAGGTTTCACCGGTTTGGATCCTGGGTGCAGACATGGCACCCTTCATCAAGCCATGCTGAGGCGGCATCCCGCATGCCACAACCAGAGGGATTCACAACTAGAATATACAAATGTGTACTGGGGGGCTTTAGGGAGAAGAGGAAAATAAAAGATTGGCAATAGATGTTAGCTCAGGTGCCAATCTTATAAAAAAAGAATAGGTGAACAAGTGGTCAGGTTTTTTCAGTCAAAAGCTCTCTCTTCTCAATAAAGAGAGGGCTGGGATGACATTTCAAAGGATACCTTCTGTAGTCCTTTCGATTCTCACTACAACCTCTGATGAGCCTAGATGAAGCAACTAAATCCTTGGTTCACAGAGAGGAAAAGAGGCAAGAAGAAGCTGCGTGACCTATGCCAGTTCACATGGCAGGTTAGTGGCAGATCTCAGATTGCAGTCCGGGTCAGCCAGCTTGTCCTGGGGTTGTTCCTCCACATCACACTGCATTACTCTGAGGCTTGCTTATATTTTTAATACCTGGATTTCAAGGGTGGCGATTAGGGGGAGGAAGCAAAACATTCAGAGCCACCCTGATCCCGGGCCCAGAAGCAAACTCTGTACTCTTTCTCCTCCATCCCCGAATTTCACGGCTAGTGTCAAGCTCAGGACCAACGGCATACACTCCTGTTCGAAAGACAGATATTCTCAATGACAATTGAACACATCAGTCTACTATCACACAGGAGTATAAGGCCAGCAAGTAGAAAAGTGAAATTAAGAAAAACAAAGAATTTTAACAGAAATTAAAGTGGACAGTTAACACTGATCCATGGTTAACAAAAAAGTCAATTCATGGATATGCTGAGGACTTTACCCAGTTTTCAAACTACGATTCCTGCAGTTCAGGGTCACGTCGCTTGTTAGAATATAGGTGGTGTACACTGAAACATGTACCTAGATTTTCTCCTTGTCCTTTTTTTTTAACTTTGCAGAGGTAGTGGTTGAAATTGAGCTAAACCTAGATTTTGAGGTTATTAATGAATTCTAGTTGTCCAGGCTCCCTCACTTCAATTACCAGGTAACTACAAGGAAGAAAGATCCCAATGCTGTTAATCTAAGGCAATATTAGTTTCCCTTCTAAACTAATTGACATGGTAACCATGACAAAGAGGAACCCGAAAGACTTCTATTTTCCCTTTCTGATTTCCTTATGAAATCTCATCATTTGCAAAGCTTTAAAATGACTGGATGAAGGAAAACCATTGTTATGACCCGTGACCCTTGGAGCCTAAACAGCATCATGAAACGCGTCATTAGAACTAAGAGAAAGTGGCTATAAGAAAAAGAAATAGCTTTAAAGGGGTTCCTTTTGAGTCTTGTTTTCTATTCAGAACGTTCTGTGTTTTTCTCATCTAGTGTGGGAATGACATTTATCTTAGCAGGTTACTTACCTACACTGGATGGTGTCACTCTAACCAGTGTAGGACACTGACCCAAGTCCTGGGGGGCTCCTTGGACCAATAGACTATTTTACAAACCTGGGAGGTGGGAGGGATGGTATATTTTTGATAATCAGACATTCCAATGTAATGTTTTCCTTAGAGGTCACCCCTCTCCCATTAATGTTATCGTGAGAAACATCAAGTGTGTTCTTTTCTATTTTCGTACAATAAATGGGCTTTGCTTACCAACATCACAAGGGCAAAGAAGAAATACTGTACAAAACTGCAGGAAGATAAACATGTGAAAACTTTCTATGGAAGAAAAACTCTTGCGTTTCCTGTCGTCTTCTTTTGAAACTGTAGTGCATATGTTAAAACGTCTATCATTTACAGTACTGAGTCATGTGCCACTGCTGTACCTGATGTATCCAATCTGGATTAAACAATGTGCCACAAACCCTAAAAGGATTATGAGTTTTTATTTTAATACCAATTCTCCTGCTATACCCTAGAAAATAAAGGTAATTTGAACAGAGAGGCTTTCTACCATGCCAGAAAAAAGTCACAGAATCCCAGAAGGGCGCTTAAAGGTCTAATGCAATCTTCCCCCCACCCCCACCACCACCCTCCCTCAATGCAAGCAGCTCCTCTGACATCCACGACAGCCCTTCCTGCTCGTGTGCTCTAGTCACGCATGTTCACTAATGGGGAGAGCATTTGATTGCGTTTATCAACAGCTCGATTTTGAAGCCCAACTCCTATTATTGAAAGAAAATCTGCCTTTACGTATCAGTAATGGTTCTGCTGAGAATACACTGAATACCTACTCCATCTAAACCAAAGTCTCAAACTAAAAAGAAAACTCAAACTTAAATTCACCTGCATAGGGTATGGCAGAAAGCTTGGGATTCGATGACGGAGGCTCAAGTTTAGGTTTCATCCCTTACTGGTATCACTTCACATCAGCCACTTTTCTTTTGGCTTCAGTTTGTTTTCTCATCTTAAAAATGGGGAGATTGGATTACATATCTTGAAGATCCACTCTCACCTTAGTAATTCTGACTGAGGTAGTGAGAGCAATAGGCATTTTCATATTTCACCATAATGTGGCAACATTGGGAATCCTTTTCATTTCCCCACAACAGCCAGATTCCCATCAATGAAAACTGTGATAGAAATGGAACAGTAAGGCAAGTGCATGATACCCAAAGGCCCTAGAAGTTGACTGAAATTCATTTCAATCACTGATGCTCATATCCTTGTCACCCACTAGGTGTCACTACAGATCCATAGCTCAAATAATCTGGAGCCAAGTAATCAGAAACCAGATGTGCATTGAGCAATACATGTTCTTTTTCATTAAAAAGCACTAAATGTTAACTGGGACATATGTGCTTGTTCAGAGGCACAAAACAATAAACATATTCTGCCAAGAAAATAACCTTGTGATGGAGTTCCAATGTCAGCTAAGACTATCAAAAATAGAATTCTATTTTTTAAGATTAACATAGGTTTATTTACGTTTAGGGGGAGGAAACAACCCTAAACCTTGAAGCTACTCCTTTGTCTCATACAAGGTGATTCGCAAGTACTAGAATTCATGTTCAATTCTTTTCAGCATTCAGGGGCTGAAGTTTACCTTTAAGCCACATGTTTTTAAAAGGTTGGTAAAGATTACTGCAATACTTAAGCTACTTTAGAAACTATTAAATTACCAAAATAATTTGGATTCTAAGTCAGAATTATCCAAAGCAGCAGGTTTTCCAAAGATTTCTCTACATGTTAATACTGCTAGGCTAATTTAAGTTAAAGCTTAACTTGAACAATTGTAGTAAGTGTATTGATTTAGTATTCTAGAATTCAGACCTTTAACCAATTCACACTAGCCCTCATCCAAATTATCTGAATTTATAAAAGCTCTCTATATACATAAAATGATTTTTCCCCCAAGTACAAAATATTTTCTCTCATTAGTCATATATTAATTAAATCTCAGAACTGGAAGGGACCCTAAAAATCTTCTAATCCAACTCTCTCATTTTATTGGTGAGAAAACTGGACCCTGAGAGGTTAAATGACTGGTACAAGGTAGAAAAGTAGGTAGTGGCAGTCTTAACCAGGACAAACACTCTTTCCACTACACCACAAAGCATTCTCAAGTGAATTTACCTAAAATCTATTTCTGGCTCCTAACAGATTATGGGGACATGTACCTAGACTGACAACTCCAAACAAAAAATCCTTGTCCACACAGATAGTCACACACAAACAGCAGATTTCTTCCACAGCCACCACTATAACTGCATCCCTTCTGTAATGGCTGAAATTTTCCTAGCAAATGTTTATGGAAAATGAAGCAACTAGTATTTTCATGTTATGCATATGCTCACCTCCAGCTTATTTTTTTATTTAAAAACAAAAACACAAAATAAGACAAACCTAAAGAGAGAACCCAATTAATTTCAAGACTAACAGATAACCTCATCTCTAATTAAGATGCCAGAGTATCCTAATTAAATTCCCCTAGCAATGACAAACTGAACTTGGCTGTATTATGGGGGAAAAGGTAGGAAAAAAAAGAGGTAAGTTCGACTTTATAGCAATGACAGGATCTTAAGTATGTAATTAAATGAATTCTTAATGACATACTGGACTTAACTATGGATTTGCTATTTACACTATTAATTCATTCTAATTTGGCAGTAATGCACAGTACTGATACGCAGAAGTAAACCCTACCATTGCCCAACCCAAATGACAGGAATGCAAGGTAAACAGGAGTTTGGGACTCTGTTATTTGAGTGTTGGACAGTAAATGACAATGGCTGTGGATGTTTGCTGACAGCCCTGGGGGGACATGTTTATGCTGCCTAGACAAGTATGTACACAGGAAAGAAGAGCTTTCCTTTTAAAAAGTAAATACCCATCTCCATACATAAGGGGTTCCCTCATCACAAATCCAGTTCACAGAAAGGTTTGGGAACTAAATGCATAACCATAAAAGGACTGCCACAGAGAAGAAATAAAAGA